TACAATGAAAAGGTTTGTAAAAAATGTGCTTGTCAAATGAAATATTTGCACCTGTCTAAAATAGCAGGTTGACAGGTTTATATCTATATTATATACTCATCACTTCCTTCACTGCATATCAAATCCATATTCCATACATTATTACTTTCTGAAATATTATCATCACAAGAAAAATGAGTATAAATTCTCATAAATATTAGGATATTGAAGACAACTGCCTTATTGTTATTAAACGTTGTATTTCCGTGATGCCCATATTCCATACTTTCTGAAATATTATCATCACAAGAAAAATGAGTATAAATTCTCATAAATATTAGGATATTGAAGACAACTGCCTTATTGTTATTAAACGTTGTATTTCCGTGATGCCCATATTCCATACTTTCTGAAATATTATCATCACAAGAAAAATGAGTATAAATTCTCATAAATATTAGGATATTGAAGACAACTGCCTTATTGTTATTAAACGTTGTATTTCCGTGATGTCCAGAACAGGAAGCCATTTAATTTCCCTCTATAGAGCAGTGCTTGCTATAATTTTTGCATATCTCTTTGTAATTTCAAAATTGTATAAATATTTTGTGGATAATTAATTTATTATCATCCCAGTACAAATAATTTGATGACAAAATTAAGAAAATATTAATCATTATTCACTCTAAATTAAATATTAAATGGCCGTAGAATATAGTGAAAGTTTACTGACACTGCAGTCATCATTAAAGTAGTCGGCTACAAATAATCAGATTTACTTGAATTTTTACAATATGGTTTTATTTTATGCTGTTGTTCATAAAACCCAGATATAAACATATGGTTACTATACTACTATTACTAAAGGTCAAACATCCATAAAAAGAGAGAGGTCTACATGTAGTACCTATATATATATAATATCAAAGCAATTGGACTTGCTGTTTTCAACAAGAAGTCAAAAACGGCACTTTTTAGCAAAAATGACAAAAATATTCACTAAAATTAGAGAATTAAAGATAACATCACAAAATGAACAAATCTGAGAGAGGTCCACATGTAGTGCCTAAAATCAATTGGACTTGCGTTGTTTTTTTTCAAGAGAGGTCGAAAATATCACGGACGCCGACAGACAATCACTCATATGATAAACAAAGCTTTTCATTATTATTTTAATTGGAGTGTATCACCAATAATACAAATATGGTACCATGTCCGTTATTACTATTCTTGTATTACATACAGCTGGTAAGAAAAGTTAGAAGGAGTGTGATGTAATGCCATGCACCATTGTAAGCCATATGTCTTAGCAATGATATCAATAGATACAGCATCAATTAACGAGCAAATAGAATAGAATAGAATAGAATAGAATAGAATAGAATAGAATAGAATAGAATAGAATAGAATAGAATAGAATAGAATAGAATAGAATAGAACAAACACTAGATTACAACACTATACATGTACTTACCTGTAAAAAGAATAGGTGTCTTTTCTCTAAAATAGAGAATGGATGGAGTTGTTGAAACACCATGTCGTATATGAACATCCTTGTCTTTCACAAGCACAAACTCAACATCTTTATCATCAACTAGTTTGGATGCTGCTTTGAGGAATTCAGGCCCAAACGTTGCACATTTGGGACAGTTATCCTGAACTGAAAGAAGAGGTAAAATATTGTCAGAACTTGGTCAGGAGTAATAAATTTAAACCTTCAACTTTGAATTGTGACTTCAGGTAAATTTTTTAAGAGTTTTAAAGAAGAAAAACTTCCATAAAGTTAATTTGTTTTGTTTGGTTGAAATCTTTGTGATTCCAATATTTCTTGTTTACACTGATAACTTATACATGTGTACACAGTCTATCTCTCAACAGTTAGTATAAGATGTACATGTAATGTATGATGTTTGTGTATACTGTCAAATACTTTATTTTCACTTGGATTTTATTTTCTCTATTTTCGCTGAAGGGTTGATTCAGTGAAAATAATATCCAACGAATATACGTTCTTTTCATATATTTTACTTTTAACTTGTCAAAAATGAGTGAAAATAAATTCCATACAAAACACTCAAAAAGTCTTTACAGCGAAAATTTATTCCAGCTTAAATTAAGTATTTTACAGTAGTATGGAACCTAAGTGTGTTGCAGATTTAATCCAATGTACAGTACAGTTTGAGAGTAACTTAACTTCCAAGCTGGCTTTTCATAAAAACTTGTATAGTATCATTTTCATCAATAATACTCAATTTACTCTTTGTAGTATTTGCCTGTATTACATGTATGAGACATATTTAGACAGATTAGTTAACTACTCTTCACAATTTTGATACATGTATATACTGTAAAATCTTTACTAGAAACTGCATCCTTAATAGAAGTCGCACCCTTTTTTTCGAACAATTGAGAACCAAAAATTCATCATTTCTCATATGTGTAGATGCTATAATAGAAGCCGCATCCCCTCTATTGTATTGTACCATTTCAATAATAGAAGCCGCATCCCCTCTGTTGTATTGTACCATTTCAATAGAAGCCATGGCTTTACAGTAGTAATTTTAAAAGCAAGCTAAGCTAGATTTACACAGAATGCTTGCTAAATGTTTAGTTATGTCCAAAGTATACTATGTTAATATAATACACTTGAATCCCAATAATTAGTTCATAATTAGATATGCAGCTAATTAATATGCAAGTCATGGTACAAAATCTGATCTTGTATAGCATCTATTCATGAACCGATTTTAAATTGCATGTACAGGGTCAATAGAATTGCATGTCAGTCAACCATAGTTTGTACACTGATGGAGAAAACAAGAAACCTTTTTATCTGTTTTTATTTTTAAATTTAATTTAATTTAATTTAGCTCTAAAGAATTATTTTTTGATAAGAAAAAGTCACCAATTATCCCATGTCATTTATTCCCATGTAAAGATTGAATATTTGGATATTTTGATTTCTGTGAAAGTAACAGTTTGTATTGTTGCAATCTGAAAGAAATTGTACTTTAATTTCTATATTAAGAGAAAAATCAAGGTATCTAAGCCATCATAGCCCTCCTTGTACAAAATATATCCCTCTAACCACTGCATTATGGATGTATTAAAGTAGATCTTCTATGTCAAATTGTTTTAGAAAAAATGATTTCCATGTAAAACATACATGTTAATATTATTAACGACCAAATTTTTTTATTTTTAAAAAAATGTTAAGCACGAATACCTCACATTTTGAATACGGTTTATGGTTCATTATACTATGGTCATTATTTCCAGCCAATTCCCAGAATAGTATTCCCATGGTAACATCAATAAAATTCTGAATTTGACATGTATGACCCACATGGGAGTACAATGATGGTTATCTTAGTGTTTATTTCCATGATTAGTGAAATCTAGAGAAAACATGTATACACAATATATAACTAAAAGCAAACTTTTGTCATGATCCACAAAATCCTTTTTTTTTAATTTCTTTTTA